AATATTTATAATATGCTATAGATAAGAATAATTGTACCTTTATTTTGATCTTGAGCAGTACCTACAAGGATAAGATCAATACCAATTTTTTTTATAGTTTTAAATATAATTCGAGTAAAGTATTATTAAATGAAAAAAAAACTAATTCAATCCAAAAATTGAACATCAAAAGATTCTTTTTATTGATTTAAATTCTATAATATTTCGGTTCTACAAACTAAAATCAACCTGTAAGCTTCAGTCGACTATTTTATATCATTATTGAACAAAAGCAATGCAGGATTATTATACTCTAAATAGTGCTAAAATGAAAGTTCTCGCCATAAAATTATAGAAAATTGTTTTACTGATAATGCCTTTTGTTTTCCATGAAGGAATCTCTCCATTTGTCGACCTGCTCTTGTGATCTATCGATTATACTAGTTTCAAATATCATCATGTTAGAAGTTGTTCAACATTTCTAGATCAGTTCTCGGAAAACACAGCTTTTCATAGAAAATATGTTTTAATATTGACAAGTTTATTTTAATCTATTCAGATTATAGGACATATTGAGTTATGTATTGGAATTGATGATTGTTGTGAAATGGAAAAAAAAAACTTTATCTATAGACAACTTCGTGTACTGTACAATCTGGATTGATCAAAAATAGTTTTGGTATTAAATAGGTTTTGTGATGAACAACTATTTTATGCGACTATTTCATTATTTTTTTGTCCAGTTGTTAAATTTCATATAATAAATGTTTTGAAATGGTATGGTAATGGTGAAAATGTGATTAAATAATGTTGGCTGAGTGAAAAATCAATATAATTTACAGCACGATGAGTAAAACTAAAAGAAACGTATGAATCAAATCTCAAAAACTGACTATTGATGAAAAATTTCGAAAGTTTAACATTCAATAATTCTTTGAAATTTCTGATTTAGAAAAAAATCAAAATAAAATTTTCTTAAATATTAAAAATTTATTTATTCATTGAATAAAACCTATTTAAAAAAAAAACTATTAGCGCAATTGTTGCAAGACTAAAATATGAAACAAAATGCAGTTGCTGTTGCTAAGCACAAAAAGTTTATTATTATTTTGAGACATACTTCTTCAATATCATTTTACTTAATTCTCTAGAAATGCAATAAGCAAGTGATTAAGATATTATTGATATACGTTTTATAATCGTACATCAATAATGTCTGTCACAGTCTCTTGCGTGAGAGGGAGGAAACGTTGCTAAGATACCTTTCAAAGTCTTCATCGTTTCTATGTTTATGTCTGTTACGTTCTGTGATAAAAAAGAGACGTAGCTAAGGATATCTGTCACGTCTGTAAGGAGGCGAGGTTCAAGATTTTATCCGTACATTTCAACACTCCTTTAAGATTGTGTCTCGCAAAATTTATCGAAGGTCTCAAATTCAAGTATATAGAAATTTTTATAATAAGTGTCTTCTCCTATTTTAATTTGTTTGAAACTACGTATTTTACGCTTTTCAATAATATATAAATCTGATGGTTGTTAGTTATAACGAAAGTATATTTTATCATATAGAAACGTATAGTTATGAGTGAATAAGATTTCTAAATCGTTTATCGAAATTTCATTCTAACTGATCTAATAATGCAGTAAAGAAGTTTAATTTTTGGTTTCAAAGCCAAGCATAACTATGTCTATATAAAATAATCGCAGAACAAAATGAAAACTTTACGAACCTTTCTAAAAACCTATCAAAAGTAAAACAGCTGGTTGTTTTTTTTTTTGAAGATCGAGATTGAAAATATCAGTAAATAGAAATGACTTGTTCAGAAAAAAGATAAAAAGAAATTCTTTCAAGACGATTTGATTGAGTCAAAAAAAATGAATTTTAATATTCGATACGAGAAAGTCGTTATTAATAATTGAATTCGTTGTCATACCGTTATATGTGACGAAATTTTTTATCCACCCCATAAGACAATATCGTGCTTATGAAATGATACAAAATAAATACTTTTGAGTGACCAAAAAATTATTTTCTATTTATTTCTATACAAAAAAAAACAATAAGTATATAATGAAAACAAATACAAAAGAATATTCCTTATTTTACATTTCGATCTTCTATAATAACGAGTTGTACTAAAGCATTAGTGTATATTGTTGTTGACTTTAAATCATAGGATTGAATAGCAAAGTGATTAATAACATCTGATTCAATTAACCAAGAAAGTAAATTCTCCTGTTCAATAAATTGAACACATTTAAAAATAAAATAAAATCAATATATGACAATATCTGTAGGTTCAGATGGACTTTGAATTAAATGAAAGAAAAATAAATACCATAGAAATTACACTGATCAAAATCAGACATTAAACTAACAGTAATAAAGAAAAAATTTTAATATCATAAATAATTACTATGGTTTTTTTTTATTTCACTCAAAGCAACAAAAAGAACAAAATGTGACTTCTTGTGTTTATTGGTGATGACTAAGCTACAAGTTTGTTTTGTAGGTTTCTTAGTGGAGACATGGTCGCTATTGAAAGTATAAGACACATAAAAGATGTCACTAAAACACACTTATTAAAAGAATATTTTATTCTGATTTTGACAGAAGCTAAATGTTTCTATGCTTGTCATAAAAGATGAAAAGTGTAAGTTCGAAATAGATAATGTCTAATATTTGTTTCTAAAAATCATGTTGATTTATATGTCCTTCCGTTTGTACATTTGTAAAAAAAAATACTTCTTCAATCATTAATAATTATGTACACATAGATTAGATAATAGTTTACCAATCATATCATGTTCATAAAGTTCTTCATATAAAGCAATCATAGTCGAAATAAATCTAGTTAAGTTTCGTGTTCTTTTATTAATAAAAATATAAATAAAATATCAACTTGTTTTTCAAAAAAAAAAAAAAAAAACAAAATGAATTGCACGAAATTTATTTATATTAATATAGAATAAAACGAAAAAATTAAATGTATTTAGAGTTGTACGCTTATCTCATTATTGTCTTGTTCGTGTTCAGGATTTTGTTTTTGAAATTTTACAGCAGCTGCTATATCTCTATTATTAATTCTTCCTTGTTGTTGAGTTTTTACGTCATTTTGAATATTTTCATTTGGTTCTGATGGAGCTATATAAAATAATAACAAAAAAAGAGAATAAGCTAATTATAAGTATTACGCTCTTATAAATACAAACTTGGAATTTTATCTATATGAGATTTTCTATTGATCACAACTGGAACATGTTGAACAGCATCATCAATACGATCTAACAGATCATCAACACATTGAATATTTTCTATATTAACATGAATTTTATCCACTTGAGCTGCCGATGTATCGTTTGAAGCTGGTTGGTTTTCAGTTGGTTTTTCTTTTGTTGGCGAAACTTTTTGTTCATTAGTAACAGCTGGAGAAGCTGTAGATGACGGTGAATTATTAGATTTTTGAATATTAGCAGTAATTGATTGTTTAGGTGCACCTTCAAGTACAACTCTTCGATGACCTGGTTGATCATTGACTAGACCTAAAACATCTTTTAACTCATGTACATCGGCATAAGGAATACGAATTGGCTCTTCTTCTTCGGCAGTCTTCACTTCAGGTTTTTTCTTGGTATTATCTGCAGTTGAACCTGAGACATTTTGTTTTTCTTTTTTATCAGAAACATTTTTGTTTTGGCCATTATTTACAACAACTTTTGCCTTTTCAATAGCTTCATCTATTCGCTCAAGTAAATCATCAACAGTTTCCACACCTAAAATATCATGACATGAGAAAAATATTAAGATTAACATGAATGATAAATCTTCGAACCATCAAACAAAATATGAACTTTCTCATCTGGATTGCTTTCTACCGATGGTTTATTAGATGTTTCAGCATTACTCGCAGCATTATTTGGTTCATTAGCTGACTGTTTCAAATTATTATTCATTGGTGGATTTGCAGATTTTGAATTTTCATCTTCGTTGCTAGCTGATTCTAAAAAAACAACATTTATCCAATAGAGTAATCACACAAGTATCATACTAGCAGAAGAAGGAGTTGTAGCAGTTTTCTGGTTGCCAGCAGGTGTTCCAGAAGATTTACTAGCCGAGCCATTACCAGGCGCTTCTAAACATGAAAGTTTTCAGTTGAAGCTAATCAATAATATGCCATACCTGAAGAAGGAGCAGCAACTTCATCATCTTTCTTTGCACCAGGAGGTTTAGAATCACCACCAGACGGTGGTTCTGTAGCTTTACTGGCCGGATCTGAACTAGCTGGTTCTAAAAAAAGTAGATTTTTTAAAATAGATTGATCATCTAAGAACCATACTCGACGATGGAGGCGCAGCTGCAGAATCTTCTTTTTTGCCAGCTACAGATGGTAAACCAGGTGGTTCTGAAAAAAAAGAGTTTTGCTGATTTAGATTAAAGGACTAAATCGCTTACTTGAAGAAGGCGGAGCAGCAGCACCACCTTGTTTATCATCAGATGGAGGCTCTAGAAATAAAGATACTTTTAAAAAAAAACATCATTTAAATGTTCAAAATTTACTGCTAGAAGAGTCAGGTGGTTTGGTATCTTCCTTTTTGTCTGAAAAAAAAGAATAAGATTTTTTTTTTGTTAAGAAGAGTATTATTTTTTTCTAAACATCTAATTACCTGAAGAGGACGAAGGTGGAGGTGGTGGTGGTTTTGATGTATCTTCTTCTTTTTCATCATCGGAGTCTTTTTTACCAATTTTTGATGATGTCTTTAATTTAGTGCCTCCTTTCTTGTCATCTTTATCTTTTTTTGAATCATCACCATGAGTTAAATTATGTGCTTTTTCTTTCACCTCATGTACTTTGTCTCCAATTTTATGAGCTGCTTTAGATAAAATATTTTCATCTTTTTTATCATCATGTTTTCCATCTTTTTTTTCATCATGTTTTCCATCTTTCGATGATGCTGCTGTAGTTGTTTTGTGTTTATCTGTCTTTGGGGATTTTTTACTTTGATCCATATTGCAGCTTGTGATTGTAGATGAGCGTTAGCAAGAATTATTGATTAGAGGAGAAATATCGTCGTTTGTCTAAATTTACAATTAAAAGTTATATGATCAGAAACGAAATGAGTGTCTTTTTTATAGTATAAATAATAAAAGCGAAATACCCATGCGCCATTCGGTATGTATCATCGATCGCGTCATTAGATTATTTGTATTAATCGACGTTTATTAATACATATGTATAAATATGAGTTAAATCAGTGCATAGAAAGAGCGATTAGTGATGAAAGTGCATCATAAATTTGATGACTCACCATGAACTGATACATGTGACTTTTCAGATCGGAAAATATGTACTAAATGGCCAGTTTGTATTTCGTATAGTAACATATTTGTTTTAGCTTATTTAATATTCAATAATGAGATTTTGCAGCAGACATGTAAGGGATTATATTTCAACAAATGAGAGCATTTTTTCATGCACTATACGAAAAGATATAGTATGAAAAGTTGAAAAAAATGAGCTATTTCAAATGTTGTGCATCAATTAGTTACTTAGGTTATATAGTGCAATATATGTGAGATACGTGATAATTTACGCATTTGTAATGGTTGATGTTTAGTAGTATATCTGCTGCTATTTGTTCGAATCAAACTCCTAGGAACCACAAGTGGTTATTTCGCAGGAAAAGGAGTTCTCTAACATGTATTTGACTCTATATAGTATTTGACATTGATTCCAAACATACCATTTGTTTCGATTTACAATCATGTGATCGCAATGAAAATTGTTAAAAATGTCTTTTTTCTATTAAAAAATCATCAAAAATCACTATGTAGGAGAGAGATATAGACCCAATTTCTTGACAACAATGAACTATTTTTCAAAACTTTTTTACTGTTATCTTGACAATAGAAATTTGCTTAACATGTTAAAGATTTAGCTTGATGTCTTTTAATAAAAAAAAACCGGTAGTAGATATACTACCAAATATCAATCATTACAAATTCGTGATTGTCACGTTTCTCTCACATATTGCATTATATAACCTAATTCAATCGATGATATACAACACTTAAAATAGCTCATTTTGTTCAACTTTTCATAGTATATCTTTTGATATATTGCATGAAAAAGCTCACTCATTTGTTGAAATATAATCCTAGCAGACGTTTATGGAACCATTGATCATTATTCTCTGAATAGTAGGTAGACTGTACTAAAAAGTCGATCTAATCCAATTTTACTGTAGAATATTGAAATAAGCTATACATTTGAGTTTAGTAATTTCAGATGATAGGCTTTCGAATGCACATGAAAAATCAAAAACTCAAATTTTGACCAGCATCTGACATATTGGAGCAATCCTTGATCTCTTCAGGAGCTCTCTGTTAATTATCATTAATAGTAAATAAGTAGAAATCTGACCATCCAACTAATGTTGATTTATACGAATGAGAAAAATGTTTATAGTGAAGCAAAAGAACATGTGTCAGATATTTTTTTACCCTTTCAAGGTGACTAAAGAAAACAGAGTCAAAACAACTCGAAAATATTTTTCGTCCTTTTGTTAATACAAATAAATAATTATTGAAACAGACATTTTTAATGCAATAAATACAAGATGTTCTGAACTATTCTAGAAAAAGATGTAATACTAATGTATTACGTCTTTTGTGGCGGATATGGCTTTTCAGCATATCCTAGTATTTAGTTGAGTTCGTGCTTTAAATGATTTAGTATGCATCGTATAATTTGTGTAATGGCATGTTATTGCCGTTCTTTTATTCTTGTTTAAGTCGTACTTATATTGAAAACGAAACGTGATGGCGCAATAACATGTTGCTTGTAGATGAGTCATAAACTTTTCTTACTCTCAAGAAAAATATTACACTTTCAATTTTTAGAATTAATCATTTTTTGTCAAGGGAAAATGATATAACTAATTAAAAAAATATTTCTTTACTCAAAACATTACTTATAGAGGGAGAACGTTTTATTTATGGTTTAAAATAGATCATGAGTTTGATTCTCCTTGAAGTTTTTATTGTAAATAGTGTATTCGTGATATTGATGACATTGTTTGAAGAAGATTAGTGTATTTACGACTTATATGTATCTAAATGAATGATAGTAGAAAATACAAAATCAGGTTCATGCTCTTACATTTTAACGCTTTTTTTTTGTGATAAACATAAATCAAAGTTACATATACAACTTGTTCAAGTTGGAATATCAATGAGAATTTTCAATTTTCAAGACTACAATCTCAAAGTATCAATCGTTCGAAAAAAATGTAATAATAATTTTCATAACATACATCATACTAGTGAATACATTTCAAGGCAACCAAATAAGTGTGGTAGTAAAAGTGAACACACCAAGCTTGACATAGATCAATACAAGGAATTATATATATATATTAATTGAACAAAGAAAAAAAAAATTTTTAAATGAAAAATGGTAGAAAATGATGGATGATGCAGATTAAAATCTGCATTGATCAAAACAAATATTTCAAAGTTTCCCACCACTGTTTAGGCTTATGAAGACGAGGTGGGATGCATGGCAACAGAAGACGATGAAAATTTTGAAACTACTTAGAGCACACTAAAAAATAACACGATACTCGGACGTATTCGAATAGAATAGAAATAATTCAAATTTGGGTGTGAATGTGGATGAAACAAAGACTAAGGCTCAGATTCAGTATGCACTCAGGTTCAGACTAGGATTCACTCAGATTCACATCTAAATTCTAAATACAATATCTGATTTGTGCAGTCGTTCATTTCACGTGATTTTATATCTTAGTCTTCATTAATTTGTATAAGTGCGATAATGTGAAATTGATTGCCATAACAATACTGAATAGAATCTGCTGTATCATTTCCATTTATGGATATTGTATGCATCCTTTTATTTCTTTCCATTTTCATTCTTTGAGTAGTTGTTCTTGATTCTAATGATAACATGCATTCCAATTCAGATTTATCAGCGAACAGATTTGATACTATTCTTTTCAATAATCTATTATTTTTATCGCATTTTTTACCTGTTCTTTCATTTCTTTCGAGTCAGTTGTACTTTATCTTACTTTGTAGCACATTACACTAGTGTTGATCATTTTTCGTTATATCAACTTAGAGGTAAGCAAATAGTAAAATATATGATCGTAAAAAGATGTCAATATAAATTGTTGGCTGCTAGTAAAAGATACATACAGCGTCAGAAAATAAGTTCACTTGTGTTTTTTGATATTTTTTCGAAGCAACTTCTGGCCTTGATGTATACTTTAATCAAGTCCTTCTTAGCAAATTTCTTTATTTTTGATACAGTAAATAAACGAAAATGTGCAAAATAGACAGTTCTTTCCCTATAATTTCATAGCGAAACATAAATTTTCTCCAAGACAAAAAGCTTTTTTGAAGATTCCGTAGAAAAACAGACTGTTTTTAATGCAGACGTTACGTTCGATGCAGTTTTTAAAGAGAATCAATTACTTTCTCCCAAAGAGACGACTTTCTTTGGCTTGTGGATTTTTCTTTTCGAACTTTCTTTCATCTCCTGAATAATATCAAGTGATAGCTATGTACACTGATTGTTTCACTGTTGAAAGGCGTTACTCAGAATCAGTGAACATGACACAACCGTTGAAATGTGATATATCTCGTGAACATGTTAGAAACAATGAGAAAACTTTGGCTCTTCGTACTAGTGTTACTCTCTCTGAAGATGATCTTAGTGACGAAGCCAAGACACAGTTTGAATTCCACAATGAAATTTTACGTACATTTCAATTCTATGCAAACCATGTACTTGCTAACGACTAGCTATCGCCGATCGGACGTCATCTCTTTTGTACAACACTCGAACGAAATCACATGAACTCGAAGTTTGTACTCAACTACATGGCCTCTCATCCCGAACTCAAATCAAGAGGAAAATTGATGCCACCTCCACTCGTTCTATGTGGTCTACCTCGCACTGGTACAACACTTCTCTATAACTTAATGGCTTGTGATCCAGCATGTCGAGCACCTCTCTACATAGAAATGATTCAACCTGTGCCACCACTTGCACGCTCAGATACTACTGGACAGATGCAACGTGATATTACTGTACAGAAATATCGCGAAACGTTGAATGCTTGTGGCTGGGCTGAGTATCAACAAGATATGCGAGCTTGTCATCCGCAATTTGTACATGAAGAAGATCTTCTTATTCTTTATCAAGCAGGGTGTAATTGGATTCAGGCTTTGCTCGCATCTCATGATGATAATGAACTCTTGATGTGGATAGAAAATGATATGAACAAAAAATTTGTGTACGAATATCACAATACGTTCATGCAAATGTTGAACAGTATCGATGCACCCCGCTCTCATTGGCTGTTTAAAGCACCGCTCCATGGTTTATATCTCAATCATCTCATGCACTACTATCCTTCAGCCTCACTTATCATGACTCATCGCCGACTTGACGACGTACTAGCATCCTTCTGTCGTCTAGCGATTGCGTACTCTAGTCCTTATTTCGATTCTAACAAGGCTAACACAGCAGCCAACATTCAGACAGTTGTAAAGCGAACGTTACATTTGATGGATACTTCAATTCATCATCTTGTCAAATTTCGACGTAATCACCAAGATATTTCTTGTTTAAACATATTATACGATGACCTACTTGCACAACCAATTGATACAGTGCGTCGTATTTACAACCAGTTTGGTCTTGTTTGGTCAGAAGAATTTGAAATGGGTATGGTTGCATGGTTACGCGATAACCCTCAAGGAAAGCAAGGTCGTAATTCTTACACACTCAACGACTATGGAATAACGCCCGATAAGGTCGAGCTACGCTATAAAGAGTACATCAGTATGTTTCTTAATTCGCAATATTCTTGAAACAAAGATTATAACATTGTTAATAGTGAGAATTCAATGATTAATTTAGTGAAATCTTCATCGAAAGACTAGATTATCAATGAACACAATGGTTCGTAAATCAACTAAAGTTATTTGAATGCTTTCCTCTATTTGTTTATGTCTAATTGAAAATAAGCAAGCAATTATTAGTTTCGTGTGGAGACGTGTGGATGTAGACCTTCGCTTCACTCACACAGACATTCTTTGAAAAGTTGATTTAATGCAGAAGTTCGAAAAAAGTAGTAGATCAACTCTTGAACACTCTATTTGTGACAAAGAAGAGTACATCATATCTATAGAATAAAAAAAACATAATAACTGAATTGAATGCATACGTGGCTTTTCATCTTGTACAACATACCAGTGATCAACCTTGAAATCATGCGTTACTCTCAGCAGTGGTACATTAATTGAAAGTGAAATGGATTCTGAGGAACGAAGTCTGTGGAATAATTGAGATATATTAAAAATTTGAATTCCACCTTTCAGTGACAGAGTTGAAAGATACAAGTGTTTAGAATTTCTTTGAAGCTTCATTTTCAACACATATTTGGTGCTCCTCATTGGTGATGTTTTACATGTCGATCTACGCTAATATCGCAATAAGTGTGTTTTAAAAGCTATATCAGATGATTATTTATTTATTGTTTATGAAAGAAAGTTATTCAGTTATCTTGATAATCTATTTTGCACATTCTACTGTTCGAAATATATATCTCTTTCAAACCTGTAGGTTGCTACTAATGGAAGTAAGGCACAATTTTAAGATTGATTACTCATGTGTCTTATCAAAGGAGAACTTAGACATATGCTAGTTTCAATTGTTGTTTCGATGATTTGGATACAATAAGTTTCCTTTGAATGGTACCGATCTGATACCCGTTTCAAAAAAGAAAAAGTGTGAGTTTTTTTTGAATAAAGTTTAATAGAAACTAGATAAAAAGGTGCGGTTTTCACCGTTTAAAAGAGGAGATGAAACTACATCGAATCGTCTATATCAGATTTTTTTTATATAAGTCTTCTCAGAGTCTACTATCAAGTTTGTTAAACAGAAAAGATTGTTTAATGTAACAGTTTTACAATCTCAATTTTCAGGGATGTACCAGAATGAGTAACTAAGGATCTATAAATTCTAGTAAGTCCTATGTTGTAAAATTTAGGAAATCATTAGTTATCCACATTTTAATCCATGTTATCGGTAAATATTTTATAAAAATTTCACTTTTTTCTTAATTTTTTAACGAAAAATCCATCTTACAAACTTATTGAAAAGCCTGGATTTCTTTTAAAAATTGACGAGAGACTCTGAGAAAGCTTGTCAGAAAAAATCTGATATAGACAATTCGATACAATTTCATCTCCTCTTTTAAACTATGAAAATCGCACATCTCTATCTAGTTTTCATCAAAATTTATTCAAAAAATACCCACACCCTTTCTTTTTTTGAGATGAGTATTAGTTCTCGAACATGATATATATCTCCATTTGAATTAAGGGAGGACAACAGTTCGTTTTAGCTGCTTTCACAGAATACCTCTGTTGATGGACCACCAAAGAAAGTATACTTGTTCAAAGAATGCTGTTCGTTGACAAAAAACTAAACTTCATGAAGCTGATAGAGTTTGTTTATAACTATGATCAATGAAAAATTGCCTACGACTACAATGAATAAGAGAGATCGTGTATGAATAAGTTTGTTTCTGTCTTTTTCTTTATTTTGTTGCGATTCTATGCTGTATATGTAACATGAGAAAAAAAAGATTTCGATGAGTTGCAGTGTGTGTAAAAAAAATAATCGAATTTCAAAGATATCTGAATGAAAGAATAATCGATGAGAAAATATTGATATATTCTCTTTGCACCATGGATGTGATGACAATCAATAAGACAAATCCAACTGTGAAACGAGCTGTAGATATTCGTTTTTTATTCTAACGATATGTATAGATAGTGTTGAGAAAGCGACTGCTCTTGAAGGCATTACAAGTTGATAGCCCCTGTTGCTGCATAAGCTTTTCTCCAAGCTAAAACGGTTACATAGTCACGAACAGTGATCTTTTCTTGAACTGTTTCATTTCTGGTGTACATCGCTTCGAATTGATTGATTAGTCGTCTGACTATCAGTTCTACGGAATAGTAATTCTTAATAATTCGAATTCGTCTGGCTTGAGAGTAGCGAAGAAAATAATAAAGATCATCTCGATGTCGGAATTTTGAAAAATATGTTGGATTATGTAAACAATGAATATGCCAAGCATTCCACAGAGAACTTTGTGAATCTGCTGGATGGTCTAATACAGAAGATTCATGTTGATGACCTAGAGTTGATGAGTAGATGTGGTTGATTGCTATTTCGGCAGCATATAAAGATGTAACACCACGCCACCATTTTGGCCATTCGCCGATCGTTGGTAGATCTTCAAGACCTAGAAAATCAAGTTCCAAATGAACACCTCCAAACTAAAACTTCTTTCAGAAAATAGATTTCAAATTTAGCAAAATCATTCTAGGAAGAAAATTGAACAGAAACTTGGACTTTTACTTTTTTTTTCAAGGCAAAATACCTTCGAAATTAGTTTATCTCACTAGTCGATTATTGAATTTCTCATGTTTTTCACTGGAGATTTCCTATACCGTTATAGATATTTTAATCAATAGTTTATGAGATAAACAAGAGCTAAGTTCTTTCTCACAGCACTGAAGACCAGAAGTGTGTCTCCCTGTCTAGAAATACCGGAAATATGTCGACCGAATTCATTTTGAAGCAGATATCTTCCGATATGGATTGTCAAGTTAGCAATTCGAATTGAATCTTGTGGGCTCACTAACCATGTTGAGCAAAGATTGTGCACTCCAACATGTTTGTAGCCGAGTTTTTTTGAAATCATGCGTAGCCTATTGTTTGTGAACTCAGTGCCATGACCAATTCCTCCAAACTGCATTTTGAGTAATTTGATCGGATGCTTCTGGGAGAGACCCAATAGTAAAGCAGGACTGAGCAGAGCATCTTGATCAACTCTCAATACCCACTGATAATTGATTGTCGCGCGTTGATAGTGTGATGTCAACATAAAGGCAATTGATGTCATGTAAAGATAGTTTTTCCAATTCCAGACTATTTGATCTTCTAGTGTTTTATAAAAACAATTTGGAATCAAATTGAGCTTGTGATCGTAGGAGAGTAGTACACAGGTCAATGGCAATTGATAGCAACTGGGAATTTCGCAGAACACAATTAAATCAACAATCACTTGCTCTGAGAGTGGAGAAAATATTTGAATGAAACGCCATGATTCGTAAAGTAGATGGAATTCAGCGATGTGCGCTGTCTGTTTTGAGAGTGATAAAACTACGGCAGCGTGAACAATCTCTGATTTTGGGATCGATGAGGGCAAGATAGGTGAAAGACTTGGCGTAGTAGGAGAAGGTGAAGAGGAGGGCAAGCATGGAAGACTAGTAGAAGAAAACAGCGTTGAATCAGGAGAAGTTTCAATCTTGGTAGGAACAATTTTCGTAGCAATAGGACGTTGATTTTCATAGTAAAATCGACTAGTTTGCCAGACCACAACGAGCAGCATAATGAGGAATAATAACCTCAGTATAGTAGATAAAGTACACCTCATCTAGATGGATGTGAAGATAATCGATTTGTTCAAATTACCAAAGCAAAAAATATTACTGTAGTCCACCAGTTGTCAAACGGAACAAGCAAATATTGAGGAGCGGAGAATCGATCACAATGTCGACTAAGAATCTAGAACAAGAAAAGTGGTCTTAAAAATATACATGTTTCTGCAACATTTCAGATACGTTCGAGATGATTTATTGCTGAGTAGAAGAACATACTTCAAGTACTAATCTATCGATGTCATACATGCAAGAATAGCCATTCATTAGAGTTTTGCGACACCGGATGTTCAATTGGTACTGAGGTTCTCGTAATTGAGTCATTTCTATATCATGCCTATCGATTTCTCCAAGTTTCGTCTGAGTTATGACCGTTGTTGTAACAAAATGTCACACATGATTTGCTGTGCGTTTTGATTAGCTGTGTGATAATTAGTTAAATCCTTGTGTAGCATAATTTCGCTTAGGAAAGTAACAATCTGAAAAGATTGATTGATGATAAAACTATGGCTCGAATTGATATGTTAACATATGACAGCTTGTTGCTTGGTAGAATGGATTGATTACAAGTTTGACGTTGAAAAAAGTCTAGCGTTTGTTGATCAACCAATGCTGTTCTGTTGCGTGTGTTTGTCAACGTCTCTCTACTTTGCTTAAAGTGCTGACAAAGAGAGAGAAAAATAATGAAAATAATGACTGTGTGAGCGTGTAACAATGAGAAAAACATTCCAAATCATCGAGATGCAGTTGATTGTATGGTTTCAATTGAGAGAATATGATTGAAGACTTTCTGATGCACGTTTCAGTTCATTATTTTTTTTCTTGATTGTTCACCAATAAACAGATGTACTCATAGTTTTTACACAGCAATCTAACCAAATATGTCAAGAAGTAGCAATAGGATAATATATAAAAAATTATCGTTTGTGGATATCTTGTTTATTGTTATCGAAAACACACGAAATAAATTATATAGAAAAATAATACAAATGTGGGTGTGGATGTGGCTATTAGTCATTCTTTATTTACATTCACATCTCACATCTTTCTTCTTAGTTTGTGAATTTCAATTTGTAACTGATCCAATTGTTCATGTACTGCTATATCGATACAAGACACAAATATAGATTTATAATTAAATATAGATATCATCCGTGGACGTACTTGTTATAAGATTTTCTGATATTAACAGTTCTTTGGTCTATGAATGACTTAAGGTTAAGTGAACAAACAAAAAACGATGAATTTTTCAAATAAGACTTACAAGTATTCTTATCATCTTTTCGAATCATTTTTTATGTTCAAAGAGGTTATAGTCGATTAGTATCCCATCATTCCGTATTCTGTCAAATTAGAAAGTCGATCGAACTTGAAGATTTTGAGACAAAACTAATATGTTGGCTTTCAATTTTACTTCTTTAGGATTTTTCAAGTATGTATGATAAAACTTCAAGTTCAATCCGGTTCTACTCAATTGAAGTCATAATTTAACAGGATACACTCCCATAGAAAATCGTGTTTTGTCCGCAAACTCATGCTGTCTTGTTTTAAGTACTCTATCTCTAGTAAAAATGTAAAACTGACCGATTCTACTCTCTTTGACAACTGGAAATGGTCAAAAAAGAGAACTACGAGATACCAATAAAATGTCAGGCGATCCGTCGAGAAAACTATGTACTAGACATTCAATATGGTTTTGTTAGACGTGTTCTAGAGGATATGTTTTGGAAGAAAGAGAAATTATGGTTTTACTTGTTTTTGATCTTTTCAGTGAAAATTAGTCATTGTGTTCAAATGATAAAAGAAAACATCATTATTATAGCCTGATATTTCTTCACTTATTTTTTTCTTATGTGTTAATCACTTGCCTATACTGATCAGATACGACGGATTATAACGATCAAATAAAAATATACTTCGAATAATGTATGTTTTCAATAAGAAATATTACATTTTACTATGAAAATCAATTTTTTTTTCTTTTAATCAACAAACATCATTGTTAAACTTAAACTTATCCAATAGGAATAGTGCACTTCAATGTATTCATCCTTGATATTTTTCTATTCACAGATTCAAATCTTAAGATAATAACAGATTATTTATTATATCTTCTTTTTCTGGTTTATGTGTTTATTTTAAATATCAAAAAATACAGATTTTATTTGATTACAAAAAGAAATGACTGATACACTACATACACACCCACTCACACAAAATAAATATCTAATGGAAGGTTTTCTTGAATAGCAAAAGTGCTTTGTTATTTTCACCAGAGATGAGTTTCTCGTACTTCACATATTATTTGGTTTGCTTTATGTAACGCCTAGAAAATACGAAAATCAGTTTTTGTTAAAACTAAAAATAATTAAAATTACGTCAAGCATTTCTTGTGCATCTTTACGTCGTTGTGCTATATGACTAGATTCATTGAGTAATTCGTCATGCTCATTAACTGATGTTTTATATAATAATGCAACAAGTTCACTTTGTAGTTGATCTTTAACAGAATTAACAAGAAAATGCATAATAGCCTTTGGCACACTATCTTGAATGTTTTTTCGTACAATCAAAAAATATGAACGAATTAATCTTTCTAAACAAAAAAGAAAAAAAGAAAATATCTTAATGATAAAATTATAATCATCAATTATTTACCAATCACTTCACAGTCACGTTTTTCACGTGCTGAAAGTTTCCGATCATTGATAATTGTCTACAAAGAAAAAAAAACGAATGTGATAACTTTTTCTTCTTGAAAAAAAAAGAATTTTTTTATCTGTTGTAGATCTCATTGAAAAGAATAAGCGCAACTCAAGAACTTTAGACTTTGATTAGTCATCAACTATTAGTGTTCAGTAAAAATGTTAATAGGATCCACAGTTCTTTTCAAAAGCACTGACACTTATCATGCTAGAGCTCTTAACAAGACATAGTATCCTAAAAAAAGAGAAAAAATAGAACAGAGGGTTCAATGACTTTTTCCTTTAGAAATATGCTGAAAATGGTTGACTTTCACTCGAAACAGCAACTTTCGTAGGCGGTGCTATTGATTATTCTTTGTAGAAAAGAAATCCTAATACAAAGTTTCGATTGAATTATGCATTCATCAATAGTATTTTCAATCAAATTAAGTAAACAATTAACATTGATGTAATGGAAACAATGTTATTCTAAATGTAGATGGTTAGGTAACTCGTGTGATATGAACCAGACAAAAATCAGTGGTACATAGACAATCAACCGATGGTAGTTTAATACTGGAATGGATACCTATTCTGTGACTGTCGTTCTACTGCGATGGGCTAATAGTTGTTCTCTTAGCGGCTAACAATTGTCAGTATTTCGATTAGAATATATAAAAATGTCTTGTCCGGAAACTGCTTTACTTTCAAGTGTAATTACTCCTTCTGTTTATGTATCTAATCAAGAGCGAGGCGATAAATTTCAGAATACTAAAATAAAATGTATCGTATTTATGTATTGCTCGCGGTTGTATCCTAGGCTCTAGCACGAAACTGTGACACTGTTGCAATGTATTTTACTCTATTGGCGAATCGTACATCTTTTATTCAAAATTATTTCCCGATTAGTCATTATTCAAGAACATCTTAAGAAATCGATCAATGTTTAAGAATAGACTACTTTGACGCGATCTAATTCAGATAGTCTGGTCAGATTGTACCGTGTTCGTCTCTAATAATAGAAATTTCTAATGCCAATAAGACTAGTAAAGTAGTAAGTGTTCAGTGCTGAAAAACAGTGACAGATATATTGAAGGATAGATTCGAACTACATTTTCAAAATGTATTGCACTGCGTACATTTTCTTGCACAGTATGACATATGTGACACATTTTATATTAGTATGAAAGCTGTATTTGGAAAGCGTTTGGTTTTTTCAGTAATGAAAAACAATGATAATAGTGAATGGAAACGAATTCAAAATTGCGTGAGTTCCCATATTTTTGTCAAAAAATACTTAAATGTGATTCTTTAACTGATACGAATCATTTGAATGAACATGCGTATGTAGTAAAAAAAAAAAGTCAGAACGTCAACTGTAACTAGTGAAGAATTACAGCAACAAAAATCTAAACGATTGTTTTCATTTCAAATAAAACCTGTACATTTAAGCGAGAATAACGAAAAATTTGAGTCCACTATATGGTTATTCTATAATATATGATCATTTTCATTGATCAAGAGCAAAGCTTTTTCAGAGAAATCAAAATTTGTATAAATATTTACACTGTTAGAAGCTTTGTATCATGGACATCCAATGTGTTCAGAAAACGAAAATCAATGACCTAAGTAACATAAAATATTTGAATGAAATACCATTGAATTGCTTAGTCATGACTGAGGCAGAGAATAGGTAAGATCTCTAAAGTTTTCCCATGTTAAAATAGCATTCCAAAAAAATGTCATTAATCAATATAAAGATATACATGATAGATCTGTTCGTTACAGGATTTTATCTTTGTAACAAAATTAGACACAGGTGAATGAATAGTTAGCGATAGCAAATATATGTACCCATTCAGTCATTTAATATAAGGAATGTGTCAAACTACATACCCATGTCATTATTATATCACCTAATACATTTTACTAAAAGCTTACAATATATTGTAAGATACAGTGAAAAAATTTCTACAATTTACAAAGAAGTACATTTTTTATTTTAATAATAGACAATTTTTTGTTCGATCAGTCGTGATACTGCGAACAGAATCATTTTTTGATTAAACTGTAAATTCGCTCTTTTATCTCATCAATTGAAGAAAGTTCTATTCATTGGCGAAAAATATTTTTTCAATAATATGTATTTGTATTGCGAAGTCAATAGAAGGCACAAGGTTTTCTTTTTACTATTATTTATCAACACGAAAGCTCGAAATGGGAATTAACAAAATCTTCCTAGATTGAACTCTGGTTGCTCCTATGAAATATCTTCTAATTTTTTTTAAAAATATATGTTCAAATATTCTGTTAATTTGATTTTGCGCAAAGATCAATTAAGTTAGTTCAATGACAAAAATATTAGATTTTCTCCATTATCGATCACGCTTGTCAAAAATTTCATGTTTTACTTCGTAGAACATCAATACAAAAGTTATATTCTAAAACCCATCACAAATACAATACTCACTCCATCGCCTAGCGGTGCCATTGATATTGTTGTTGAAGAAGTAAGAGTAGCATTCGACAGATGTGAAGAAGATTGTACACCATTAACCTGTGGTTCATTATCATCATGACGGTGAGTTAATGCTCGATTTACTGAACTTGTCTTTCCTGATATCGTTTGAGCGTTATGCTAATATAAAAAAAAAAGAAAACAAAACTAAAACTTTACTGATTAATATTTGTTTAAACTAACTCGATCATCATGTTTTGGTTTATGTTGTGTTAGATTTGTATTCGTTATATCATCTCCACCAGTTAAAGCTGTATGAATAACTGTCGCTTCATAAAAATCTGGATGTTTTACATTAATGTATGCTAATTCAATGCCAACAAGATTTTCCACCATACGATTTGTCTCTGGTAAGCGACGACGTAATAAATGTGTAACAACGTCAACGATTTTTTCATGTAAACGTGGAAAACGAATAAATTCTTGCTAAAAAGAAAAGAGACAGGATTTTTATAAGACGTGCTCGATTGAAACTTTCTAAATGAGCCTATTTTTGGTTTATTTATAAATCATCCAATAGAGCTTTGTAAGATAATTCAAAAGATTCAATTTTTAACTTCGTTAGTGCGCAAGTTTTCATCGAGAAATATTCGGAATATTGCAAGGGTATCTTTTTTTTGTTGAAAAACGGCAATTTTCTCTTTTAAATCGAAGTATTCAGTTATAATACTGCAATTAGCTAAGATAAAGAAATCCTTTCAGGATATTCATAGCTCATCTGGCTCTACATAGTGTACAGATTTCCTCATGAGCGTTGAAAATTGCATTTAGTAAATTATTTCTTAGAGTTCTATTAGAAAAAAGTTTATGTATAGAATGAGGATCGATGTGCCTTCCCCTTTTCCGACTATATTTCGTAAACCTATTTAGTTTTCTTTTCATTTAAGAGATATAGTCACATCTTATACATCATTAGAATTGTCATGCAATGAAGAATCAAAGTACGTTCTGTTCTTTTTTGCAAAACTTCTTTCGTTCTTGATATATCTGTTTTATATTATAATTTGAGCACCTCCACTTACAATCAGGAAGTCCATCCTTTTTTTTATCACTCTATTATTTATTCTTCAACATCGAGGCTAACAAAATATTCTGAATCAGTAATCAAAACTAAATAAGCTTACACGAAGATTAAATATTTTCACGATCTTTGTCCTTTTAGTCAAAAGCTTAACTTCTAGTCTCCTCAGAGTCTAGCAAAAAGTAAACTTTTTCAAAACACTACTTTTGTTATTTTGTAAGTTGCTATTTTGAATTTTACTATTATTTTCTAATCTTATTCTGTTGAAAATAACTTGTTGCACAAAAGCAAAAATGTTCATAAAAATATTTGATATTCGTTCAAACTCACTCAGTTTTAAATACTAGCGAGAACCCATGCATATTGCACGGCAGCGTGTCTTTCTTTAACGCATGACCTGAAAACTTTAACCTTTCGTTCGGTAACAGACACAGAGACGCTCGACATTATGTACATAGAAGCCCTACGGGGTGATATTCTTATATTGCTAATACTCCATCTAGCTTTTCGATCTTATAACCTAACCCTCTTTGAGCGTTCTCCTCTTATAGCATTTCTACCTTATCGCCTTATCCCCTCATTGTCTTACTCCTTAATAGCCTTACCCCCTATTGGCTTCCTTCTTTAAAGCCTAACCTCCTATTGCCTTTCTTCTTTAAAGCCTTACCCCCTTATAGCCTTATTTGACCGTTAAGCTTTGACTCGGAACAGAGAAACAGACACTGAACATTATATATATAGATTGCCTTACTCCCGTCAGGGCTTATGGGTGCTCCAATATAATAGCCCTTGAGTAGACTTAGGGCTACCTCCCATAGGATGGCCCTGGAGGACTTATGAGTGCCCAAATATAGTGGTCCTTCAGAGCTATGGATAGCCCTATAGAACGGCTGTTAAGGGCCTAAGGGTACTCCTATATAATGTCGCTTGAGGACCTATGGGTACCCCCATATAATAGCTCTTGAGGAAACTCATGGAGACCTCCTAGAATAGCCCTCGAGGACCTATAGGTACCTCAATAAAATAGTCCTTGAGTCCTATGGATACTCCTATATAATGACTCTTGGACCTTTCTCCTTGTAGCCTTATTTGACCTCTGACCTTTGACCCGGCACAGAGAAACACACAGACAGACAGATATTGAACATTATATATATATAGATTGTTTCGCAACGTCATGTTAGTTTTTTCACAAAAATAGACTCTTGGAGTTTGTTGAATATTTTCGGGTGAAAACTAGCATACTAATAAAGTTTTAAAAAAATAGATATTTTTAATTAGCTTATAAAGTTCTATTGAATAATCTATAAATGTAACCAGAAATAAGATAGTGCGCAAAGTTTGAATTAGATGTGATTGTCTATTTTCTTAAAATAAACTAAATCAAAAAGAAAGAATAATCGTCTTTACTTGAGCACCACAATGTTGAATAATTCTTTGTAATTCTTCATGTACTAATTCAACACAACGTAAACTGGGATCTTCTAAACGTTTTATTTGACGTTTAACAAGTAATTCAAATGATACTTCTGGAACAAATAAAGCAGGTTTTGAGCCCTAGAATAAAAGAAACAAATCGTATATTAATAATTTTAAATAAAAAAAAAGCAAATAAATTGAATTATACAGCAGCATTTCGTATTGCAGTAAGAATATCAAATGTAGTTAAATTATCTAATGGATGAATTGAATCAAGAGTATGTGCAAATATTTCATGAAATATATAACATATTCGTGCACCACCACATCTAAATAATAATACATAAAAAAGAATATATATATATTCGTTTATATTTTAATACGAACAATTCTGACACTTCAATATTTTTTGCTGTGCCTTCAATGGTTGCACAATAATTTGAAGCAAAGTTTGTTATAATTTGAAGAAGTAATCGACCCTAGAAAAAAGTATTTTAATTTTAATAAATTCAATTAAACAAAATCAAAACAAAAAAGTCAAGTATACTTTATCTTCGATTGGTTCACCAAATGAATTAATAAGTGTTTGAAAATGAGATATCATTTGATTAATACGAGTTTTTAATGATGGTAAACAATCACGAATATGATACATAAGTAACTATTAAATAGAAGAAGAACATTAATTATTTTATATGAATATTATTAAACTATACTCTATTTAATGTTTTAGCAAGAAATGATGTTCCATTACGATTAGCAATAGATGGATAAGTTTTTTGAAGAAAAACCGATTCATATCGTAAAGCTTCATCAATTGGCTAAAAACAATCAAAAATAATATATCATGATAAAAAAAAAATGATAGAAAGAAGAAAACTAACTTTTTTCTTATGAATATCTTCTTGACTTCGATTAACAACACCAATAATACCTAATTTAACTGGAATGACTCGTCCACATAGAACATCATATGCATCTGTTCCACGATCCATTAAATCAAGTTTTGTTAAAACAGCTAATGTTCTTTGTCCTATTAATCATAGAACAAAAACTGATAAAAATAATTATATAGAAATAAGTGAATACATGCTATGTTTATGAAACCTCTAGATAAATCTATCGTGTCTATTTGATTATTTCATGATTCTCGATTACTTCTCTCTAATGTTTAAAATCAGAAATCAGTAGCATCAATCAGAATTTATTGAAATTGCTTTGCTATGTGTAAAACTACAGATACACTGAACAAACCATTTTTGGTAACGGACATCAGGCCTCGAAATAGGTCATTCAAACCGAATTTTATTTCGTTTTTTTAAGGAACGCTTCTTATATAAGAAAATAACTGGAATTTTAATCGATTTTTTTTTTCGTCTGAGTTTTGTATTCTGATGCTGGTATTCACCAGAAATCTTTATTATGCCAACATTTGGGAAGTTTACATTAAGTCAATAAATAAAAACAGAACATCTATTCAGTTCAATGATATTTCTCATCTACACGCAAGATCAAATGCATTAAGTGTCTTGATTAACTGTGTACTGAAATTACAATATTCTAATAATTGACTGCAATGATTGTAGAGTTCCATCATGTAGAAATATACATGCTGAACTGAGTTGGATCTGACAGAGAGTGCAATAATCTAAGGCTGATGACAAAAGAGGTAAACGATAAACTTATTAGAGATTTGTAGAGTTATGGAAGAAGAAAGAAAAAAACAAGAAGCGATTAATACGTCATGCACATATAGGTAATCAATAAAAACAATGAATGACAGAAAACAACAACATATCAAAAATAAATCGGAAACGTCACAATATGATTCTGATCTCTTTATTTATTAAGATTTAATTATGTACAGATTTTCTATTTATTTGTATTGTCTTCTTTATTACAGTGTGTTTGTTTTTTTGGTATTAGAAAATATTAGTATGAAAATAATACAACGATTTATGATGTACGAAAAGCTTCACTAGAAATGTGATTTGAAACTACTTCTCGTCAGATGTCAGATAGAATTTTCAACTCTCACTAAAAATAAAACCATCAGAAACATGACTAAAATTTTTATTGTCTCAAAATCTTCCAATGAGACTATTCAACCGAATATTTTTATAATTCAGCTAATTTTTCTTTTAAGAATAAAATATACTTTAGAATTTCATCGTAATTAAAATTATAATTATCAAAGACTTTAAATGAATTATATTATAAATCAGATGACTTCGAACAAAATTCACTAGAGATAATTAAAAAGAGGCACTTTTCATTGGCTACATTGATCAAAACAGAAGAATAAAAAAAAACCTTGATCTCATTCATTTTTATAGAAAACAAATAGCAAACCTTCAGGATCAACTTCTTTAGCAAATTTTACTGCTTCCGATGTCGAAAAATCGACATTAGCTGGTGTAATCGCAAGAATAATAGCATTTGGATTTGATATATAATCCATAATAAGATTTCGTACTTGATGTTCAATATCAACTGGTTGATCATCAACAGGTATCTAAATAATTTGATATGATAACAAAATTAATTTCATTTAAAATTTATACTTTTGTTAAACCAGGTAAATCAATTAATGTTAATGTAACAACTTTTGGTGAATAAATTTTTAATGTTATTGGTTCTTTAGAAATATTCTAAAAAAAAAAGAACTACATTAGAAAATACTATCAAATAGTACTAAACCAAACCTTTTTTCCACCAAGTCGATCTGTTTCAGTTTCAATTTCTTTTCGAATCTCATTAAAATCTGTATAAACTCGATCTTTAATATGTGTAAATAGACCAAATTCATCTTCATCTGGTACTGGGACTATAAAAATAGATTTTTTGCTGTTTTTTCTTATATTATTCGAATATAGATAAAGTACTTCCTAAACGTTGACATTGATCTTGTTTATCTTCTGCAGGTGTGTAAATAAGTTGAAGAGTTAATGGACGTCTTGTTACAATTCCAATACCACGAGGAAGAAAATCTCGTCCAACGATATTTTCTAATACTGAACTTTTACCAGCACTCTACAATTACAAATATTATGATGGAATGTAAAAAAAGAAAAACACTTAGTCAAAAACAAACTTGTGAACCAACAACAACAATTTGTGGTAATTGAATACTATCTGACCCGACAGTATTAAATGCATCTTGAAGTTTATTAAGAATAGGAATAAGAGCGTCCATTTATCTACAATTATAAATTTTAAAGTTGATGAAGATATATATATGTTGGCGTCCAAACTCGAATTCCGTCCAATCTCGGATTGGACGTAAATTCATCAGGCCAATCTGAGATTGGACGCTCAATTTTCAGACGAATCTGAGATTAGACGGAATCCGAGTATGGACGCTGACATATATATATATTGTATTATCATTAATTTGTGATTAGAGAAATTGTTTCACCAATCAGATTTGATGTGGTCGCTTTTTATTCGATCTAAGTAATGGTTATTGCTAAGCAACAATCATAAGTGATTGATTCTATCTCATCAATTATTAATTCATATTTCGAATATTCGAAACATGATTTTATTTAAATCTATTCTATGGTTATTTTTAATATGTTGTTCATCAACAAACATTTTTGGTCAAATCATAACCAATTATATAGCTTATCAAACAAGGTTTACATATGTTACAACATGTCCAAGAGATCAATATTATGATATTGCATTATTACAATGTTCACGTTGTCCAACAGATTCTGTACAGAAACTTAGTGGTAAGAAAAAAAAAGTCTTTGAAGAACATTTTTGAAAATATCGATCATGATTAATTCGATTCGTGAGTTAATCACAAGAGAAAATGACAATAATTTTGAAAAATCGAAAAAATAAGACTTAGCTTTCACTAGAAAAGTTTGAGCACCCGCCAACAATGGTAGGGTTGCATTTAAAAAGAGTCTTGAATCTCTTTTTACAAAAATGGTCAGATGTTTAGTCTTCTTCTTGTTGCTCTGTAGAGTACAAAGAAAGGCATCATCTAAATAAAGTTAATATCACATTAAGTTTTTTTTTTTTTTTTCCTCATGAATAATTTATTCAGAAAGCTATGACTTTATAACATGCATGAGTATCTTTTTGATCCTGTCTAATGACGCATTCTGTTTTAAATCATCAGTAATAGCTAATTACTTTTGAGTTATAAATTATAAATGAATGCATTTCTAAATGTTGTCATTTGCCAAGAAGTAACTTTTCGATTTTTTAAGAATTCAAATATGTTTTAATATGAAAAAGGAAAAAATAAAACTTCAATAACAAGTTTGAAAATTCATTACATATTGACGTAGAAAAACAAATTTGTAGTTCTTATTGTTTTGTCATTTATTTAATTCTTATTTAGACAAAACACAATGTGAATGTATAAATGATACATATTATTATGATGTTAATCAAGGTGGTGGTTCATTGATATGTACGGCATGTACTGCAGGATATGTACGTGCATAAAATTTTATTACTTTTTCTTTACATCAATAAATTATATCTTTAAGGTACGATCAACTGATGGATTTGGATGCATTTTGCATACTACTACTTGTAATGTGACAAATTCAAGTGTTATTATTTGTACTTAAAAGACAACTTTTTTCTTATCTTCAGTAAATTAATAAAATATATCATTTTAGCGGAATCGAATCTTAATGGTACTTTATATTCGTCCAGTTCATCATCAGCTCAACCAAGAATCGGTAGTGATACATGTACACAATGTGTAGATGGTACATGGTCTGATCCAGATAGTCAACGGTTAGATATAATCTTAATATTAAAAATTCATGCATTTTCGTTATTTTTAGATGTAGTCCATGTGCTAATGTCACTCCGCATACTGATCAGCCACCTCAAACAATTAGTTGTTGTTTGACGGCTAGTAGTGATTTGAAAGTGAGCTATTATTTTCAAATCTATATGTATTTTATGTTTCTTTCTTTTTCTTATTAAGGATGGTATGTGTTTAACTTATGTAATTGGTGCATTGGGTCTTGGTTTATCACCTAATTATTTCAATAGATTTAATGTACGTTTGTCTTTTGTTTTTTATTACAATTCGTGTAAAATAATCTTCAAAAAATATATAGAGTCCAACAATATCTTTATTTTTTCAACAACATATTGATGCATCTGTATATCTTTGTCGAGTAAATAGAATGATTTCTGTTCAATATTAAATTCACTAGACTTTCTCTCTTTTGTTTTTTTTCTGTAGATGAATTTAAGTCCAACAACAGTTCAATCATCTAATCGAACTCTTTTATCGAATGGAACAGCATGTCAAGTATTAGCTAATATTGTTGCAATGCAATTTTATTATCCAGTAACTAATTATGCTTATGATCTATATCAAAGATATATATGGGAACCGACATCTCCACAAATATGGACATCTTCATCGATTCGGTAAATATAAAAATAATGATTAGTTAAATTTCAGAATTATTTTATTTCTCTAGACCATCAATACCATTTCTTGCTTATCCATCAACATATTATGAAGAAATAAATAATTCATCTTATGATTGGATACCATCAACACAGAATCAAAATAATACATTAAACATAAAATTAGCAAAATATTCTGTTACAGGAACATATTTAGGTTTATTCAATGCTTTTGATGCATATATACAATTATGTGGTGGTGCTTATACACAAGGTGGACCTGCTTTTACATTTGGAACACAATATAAAAAAACAGTAAGATATAAAATATTCGTATATGAGTTTGATTCATAAAAGTAAAAAATAATGAGAAAAATCCTTGTATCTTTGAATCAATTGGATTATCGTTATTTAGCGAATATAAACAATGGTTTTTTTTTTTTTAAAACTGTTATTTTTCAATTTTCCAGAATAAATAACAACAACAGAAAAATATAATAGAATGGTTATTTGAAATTATATCAAAAAACATGGTTTGTGTTTTTCGAATCCTGCTGCTATCTTCTTTGCTTGTTTCGCTATTAAAGTTAAACTTTTAGCTATTGATTATTGAAATAGACATAAAAATTGAGTCATGTAAAAAAATCATTCCACTAGGTTTGCTTTTGAAATATTCGAACCACATATTAGAACATGACCCTAAACTAACAAAATCTCTAATGGTGATCTTTTCAATAAAAATGTTTTTTATTTTTCTATATATTGATTTTTGTTATTATTCTCATCTTTAAATTGACTATTAAATGAATTGTTCTTTTTCACAATCAAATCAGCTACAAAAATTGATATGACAATTTGTAATAAAATAATATTTGTTTATTTGGATTTTAATGTGACAGCAAATAAAATGATTTAGCATACATGTCATCTCAAATAATATTTATTCTTTTAGTGTTTTATTCGTGCTGATGCATTGTGGAATTCGACATTATACGAAACTGCTTTCTTTGATCCATGTAAGTTTTATTTAAATGTGGTTGTTATTTTAAATTTAATATTAATTTTAGATATTGTATTTACTAAATCTAATATCGATTATATGTTACCAACTCCTGTTGTTATAAAAAATTATAAAACAGATCGTGACACGACTCCTAATCAAAATAGTAATTATTAATAATTATCACGATAATAATCCTATAAAATTATATTAATTTAGATGATGAATCTAAATGGATTTATCATCGTCGTTTTTTTCTACTTGATAGAATTTCTGGTGTTACAGTTACTAATGGTATATACATTTTATAAATAATTGTTTTTTTTTATTTAATATAAATTTTATTCTAGAATTAAGAAATATTCATTATGCAAAATCTATAAAAATTTTAAATATATTATCAAATGGAGGTGCATATATGCAACCACCAGTAATTGTTATAGAATATGATGAATTAACTTTATCCGATATAGGCAAAGGAAGTCTTGTAGAGGTAAGAATAAAATTTCTTATCAACAACAAATTATCTAATGAAATGAAAAAAAAGATATGAACACCTGATTTCATGTATAGATTTCAATTCTTTTACTGTCTTTTTTTTTGAAATAGATTACATTTGAAACTGAATATCGAATGAATCTTGATTCACATATTCGTGATGTTTGGATAGCAATTGGTGTTTTATGTGGTTTGGGTATAATACTTGCATTGATTCAAACATGTATTTGGCATTCAAGAGCTGGAAAACAAATTATTGATTTAGGAGTAGGATAAACAATTTTTTTTTCTTCTCTATTTAATTAATATTTTTTATTTCTTCTTTGAAAGACAATTGGTAAATTTTTACTTTATATTATTCATATTGTGGGAACAATTTTTTTCATTGTTATGGTGGGTGTATCACTTTGGTGGTTAATATTTTTTAAAGTAAACAATCAATATAATCTATATGAATGTATGATTATTTTTGTATTGAATTTTTCTTATTAGAGACCAGGTTCCGCTTTTCTTGTTATACCAACGAGTATTCAACAAACTTCATTTACAGTACTTGTTGTTGTTACATTTATACTTAAATCATTAGATATTCTTCATATAATTATTCGTCAATCGAATATTGATATATTTTTTATGGATTGGGAAAAGCCGAAATCAAGTTCGAAGAAAATTTTTTAAAATTCTAATTCTAATTAAATATATTTTATAGATGATATAACTGATGTTTCAGTTTGGCGAACATATTTTGTAGCAAATGAGTATAGTGAACTTCAAACATTTCGACGTGTTAATAGCACATTTCATATAATAGCTGTTTTATTTTTTTTGAAAGTAATTAAAATTATTTTATTTTATTGAAGAATTTATTTGAATCAAATAATTTTCTTTAGGTGATTAACTTAGAAAATGTAGCTACAGCTCAACCAGGAACAAATCTTTTTCCATCTTCATCTAATTATAATGCAGATTATAATGGTATTTTACGTGTTGGTATTGCTTTTTCTATGTGGCTTGCTACTGGTAAAGATAGATTTTTTGTTTCTGTACTTTTTTTTTTTTGAATAATTTGATTTGTTTTAGCACTTGTTCAATATTTGGTTTATGTAATTTTTTATCAACGTTTTGTTGAAGATCGTATAATTAATTTTATTGATTTATGTTCAGTATCAAATATAAGTGTATTTATACTTATGGATAATCAATATGGATATTATATACATGGTCGATCACCACATGGAATAACGGATGTTGATATGAAAGAGATGATGATTAATTTAGAACGTGAATCACAAGAAAATACTGGTAGAAGAGGTTTAGAAACAAATTCTGATGATCAAATATTTATTATTAAAGTTGATCGACCAGTTCGATCTCAATATGATCTTCTACTTCGAAGTTATCAAGTAAAGAGAAATGATTAACATAAATTCATTTTCTTTTTTTTTTTTTAGCATCGAATTCTTACACGTGTAAATAAAAAAATTGAAGAACGTGAATCTGAAATTTTATTAGTATCATATCGAGGTTTAAATGAATTTTTATGTGCATTTATTAATCGTTCATTACCAACATATCCGTATACCATACGTCGTCGTAATTTATTTGAAAATCTTCTAAATTGTGAGTTTCGTACTGCTAATACATCTGAATTATTAGATCATACAGAAAGTTTATTCTTGATTGGTAAGTGAAAAATAAAATAAAAAATTATTTTTATTTATTTTTTTTTTTGAAAAGATCATGATAGAAATTTTTCTAAAACAATTTTTGCTGGTTATGAAAATTCATTATTTATTTGGAATACAGCAACATTTCTTTTTGTTGATTATTTTGCATCGAATTATGTTTTAGCTGCTATTATTACTTATTTACTCAATTTAGTAAGATTCATTTTTATATGAATATATTGATTATTCTTTAATTGTATTTTTTTTTTATCGTCAATAGATTGCTGTTCAAATACGTCAATCATTAGGTCAACAAAATTTAGCGAAAAAAACATTAATTCCAAAGAGTTTTCTCATTTAAATATTTCATAATTCCATGAAATGTTTGTTTGTTTGTTTTACTAACATGTTTTTTTTTATCTATGTTTAATAGCCATGATTAAAGAATAAAAGAATTTTTCACCATCTTAGAATTTGAATTAATATATCTGTATGATACATTGGTTGTATTTGGATTAAATGAAAGATCATATCAATTTTAACTTAAATCTTTATATTAGTCAGCGAGAAATATTCAAAAGTAATGTTTCTCGACAATTAATTATTATTTAGTTCTAATGCAAAAACATCGATTTTCCACGAAAACGAAATCAAAGAAAAGGCATAAATGGATGTTGGTGATTGTATTAATTTCTCACTCATATATACGTCCAGAATCCATATCCACATATTCTATTAAACACTTTGAGGACAACACCCATATATTCATGACTCGGACAGTCTGCATCTTTTGAAAGGTATACGTCTGGGTGAGTATGTGAGTGGCTAGGTATGAAGATGATGGATGTTGTCCTTATTGAAACCCGATCACCCATCGTTTTCCATCTACACCCAAGTAAAGTTATACTAAGTAACATAATCTAAAACAGTGAAAACCTGAGTCATCAGAAAGCTTTAAAAGGTTAATTAATAAAAATAACTTCGTACACTACCAGTTACTGGTAATTCTTAGCTGAATTAGCCACTACTGTAGTTATGAATATCTTATGGCTTATTAAGTTACTTGTTGAAAGTATCTATTTATTGGTAACATAAATGTGACACATCTAGTGAAAGCCATTTGGAATTACCTACCATTGAAGTTACTGAAAATGAATTTAAACGTGGTATGAATGTTATCTTCACTCACACCTACACCCACCCACACCCTACAAGCACGTCTATTCAGGCGCATGAAAATCATGACATTTGTAGAAATTGGGTGTAAACGTAGTTAAAAGCGTGAAAATGGGATTTTCTTTGCATGGAGATCAGAGTCAAAAACAGGGGTGTCCCGAGTTCTTCAGAATTGGGAAGAGGGTGGTGACTCAGAAGGTAGATCGGAAGACTTTTACTCAAATGAATCGAAATTGGAAATGGGGCAGTCAATCGGTTTGTCGGGAATTGGTGAGCAGAACAACGAATGAAACATTGAAGGCTCATTGGTAAAAATTGATAATTTCTTAAGATTGGGTGACCGGTGACTATCAACTTCACTCGCTCAAGATACCCCTGGTCGCACTTATCCCAATGTCCTTAGCGACATTCGTATCATTACATCAATTTTATCCTTGAAAATAATCATGACTTTGGAAACATTTGAGAAGATATTAAATTAAGGCATAATGATGAAAAAAACTGTATTGATCAATCAAGAAAATGAGAGCGAAAGTTAGAAAAAGTTCAAGTTAAAATGGTACAAATTGAATGACAAAAAAATTGGCTTCAGTAACTCATAAGAAATATACAGCAATTTGAGATCTTAAATAAAAAATTATTGAAATAAAACGTTCAATAGAAGAAGAAAATGCACAACAACATTATAGATTAACAATCGAAATCGTTGGACTAATTTCTATTGCTCAACTAAGTTTCAATTCATATATTTTTTTGCATTGAATATCGTCTCTGATTGAGTTTTAGTTAGGTGATAAACTGATATTCCAATAGACAAAATGATCCCAAAGAGAACATGATCGTTTATGAAAACCAAGTTATTATTCATTAAGTCTTTCAAGTAATGGTTCTTATTTTTGTCAAAATTGAAAAATATTTATGTAGTAAGATATTTAAAAAGATCACGTACTAAAACCTTGATTTACTGGCACTTTGTTCGATATGAAAAATTATTGCTTTCTCTAACGATATCCATTTTATGGATATTAATATAGAGCATAATAGATTTGTACAAGTCTAACTTTGTTACTTAATGAAAGAAAAATCTCTACATAAAACAACCACTTATATTAGTATTCGATGTTATGAATTATTATGTATAAGAACATTTCGTTGTTTCATCATTCAGAGTTTTTGATCCGGTATTTATCTTTCAAATAAAATGTATTTGTATTTAGCTATTAAATTATTCTGAAAGTCTTGCTAATATATACAATTATAAATTGAATAAATAAAAGAATTCTATTTGTCCTCAGATATGACACATAATCGATCTAGTGGATTTGACACTGAAAAATCTTTTCAATTGTCCCAATCAATCCTTTATATTACATGTAACTTTGATAACTATTTAAATATTCATTACTTCTGTTAAACTTTGTCTAGATGAGGCAACTTACACACAATAAAAAAAGTTCCCAAGATTAAATTGATTTCATCTGTATTTGATCATCATTAAAATGATGAACTAATCTTCATCGATTTCGTTCATTTTTTGTAAGTGCTTATTTGTGTTTCGTATACTGTCATTCGATATATTGTTTTGTCAGAAAGTAATATCGATTAGAATATATCAATGACGCTAAAAGGCTTGATCATATATGTTTTCTTTTTATTTCCAGTTTTAAGAAGACTAAAATCGAATTGAATATTAGTCCTACAAAAAAAAAAAAAGAATATAACTTTTCATTTGTGCTTTATTTTGTCATTGGATGATTTATTTAGGATGGAGATTAGGCTATGGATGACATTGTGCAAATATTATTTTGCATCGACATATACAAAGCAAGTGTGATATAAATGAATCACAAGCCAAAAAAATTTCTTTCATTATGTATGTCATTTTCGATATTTGTAAATGATGTTTTATTATTATGAAATTATTCAAAAAGTAATTTTCGTCATATTTATCTTATTTTGTTGTCAACAATTTAAAAGTTATGTAGTTACAACGAATATTGATGATATTTCTAGTGATTTGGAACATATACGTGTGCAACAACGTATGCCTGGTTTGTCTGCATTAGCCTTGAAAAATGGTAAAATTGTAGCACAAGGAGTAGCTGGATATCGTCGACAAGATTATCCTTCTTCTCTTCTAATATCTGACCCTTTTAATATTGGCTCGTGTACTAAATGGATGACAGCCACTTTAGCTGGTCGTCTCGTCGATCGTAAACTTATATCATGGTCTACTCAAGTTCATGAATGTTTTCCAAATTATGAAACTTTCAATAGTGCTTTTCGAAATGCTACTTTAGAACAATTATTAGCACATCGTGCTGGTGTTCAAAACACTCCAACATTTTATAATCATCATCTTGTAGCTTTTATTTCCCAACAAGGTAATATCAGTCAAATTCGTCGATGGGTTGTTGAAACTGTCCTAAAAGATACACCTCAAATACAATCTGGCGAATATCTTTATTCTAATCAAGGTTATACAGTTGCAGCTGTTATGATGGAATATGTAACGGGTCAAGATTGGGAATCATTAATGTATGAACATATTTTTATTCCATTAGACATGACTAGTGCTAGAATTGGTCCAGTTTATGATGAAAGTCTTCTTCCTAAAGTACCTATTGGTCATGAATTACTTGTTAATAATTCAAAACCTATTCCACGTCCAATGCTTACTCCACATATACTTCACGTTGAATTCGCGTCATCAGCTCCGTCCGGTTTCGTTGCTTGTACACTTCATGATTTGGCTAAATTTTTATACGCACACATAATAGGTGAAACTACTGGATATTTAAGTAAAGACACATTAGATACATTGAAACGTCCTTACATTGGTGTTGAAGGTTATGGCCTCGGAGTTATAGTACGTAATAGTACATTGGCGTTACCTGGTCAAGCATTAATACATGATGGAGATAGTTTTGGACACAGTGCAGTATTTTGGATGGCACCTGCTAAAGATCTAATTACTGTTGCTTTCACGAACAGCCGCTCAGAAGAGCGCTATGCTGCAAATGCTTTAAATGGTGCTATTGATGTGCTTCTAAAAAAACATATTAATAGTGTAAGAAACAGTGAATCATTAGATCATGGTTTTATCGATCTTAATCACTCTTGAAATATTCCTCATATTTTTATTAATAAATGGATTTTGGTGTAATCGTTTAGGACGTGGGTGTCGAGTGAGTTTGCTCTACGAAAAGACGTAAACTCACACCCACATCCACAACTAAAAATTCATTATATTTCGATTAGAGTGACTTGCATATAGAAAAAATCAAACAATGATTAGTCTGGACATGCATAAATACCATAACTTTTGTCTGCAAGATATTGACCTTTGATTTTCGTATTGTTTTTGAGATATTGATGTCGATTTCTTTCTTAATTCAAAAGTAACAAAAACAGAACACCATCATTATATTGTATGCTTGATGTCTCTGCAAAAACATCAACCATAACGTCGATTACATGATATTGTTGGATTTTTTTGGAAAATGCAATTGCAACAAATAAGAAAGATCAACAAAAAAAAATACATTAACAACGAACGAGTCAGCGAAATAAAAATACACACATAGAAATTTTTATTATTGCTATCATCAGTTTTTCGTCTTGCATTCGTGTCTGTACAGGGAGTGAAAATGTAGAGATAGAATGTAGAAGCAAATGACTGCTGAGCAAAAGTTAAATTGCATATTTCTTTCTGTCGATGTGATTCCACATATTATATCAAGGACTTGTTGTCACTATCTGTCTGTATTCCTTTTTTTATGCTGACGCATTTTGAATTTAATAAAAATGCATGAAAATCAATTTAATACTATTCATTACATTACATTCATTTCGTTTTTCTTTATGTTTATTAGTTTACCATCATCTCATGTCGCTAAAATCTATGTACGAAGTATGATTAGCATCATATTAAAAAGAAGATTAAAATCAAACGAGTATTCAAGAATCTCTTTTTGTCACCTTAAGAAAGCATCTGAGTGATATAAATAAGAATGACTGTTTCAAAAACCTTCGTTTCGAAAAAAAAAACACAAAACAATATGAAATATTTTTGATCATCGATAAATTTGAATTCTGACATTCAGCTCAGTCAAAACACTAAAATAAAATATGTCGTGGTCTATTGACTATTCGTATTTTTTTGCTAAGTTATTTTTCGTTTAAAATTTAGTCGAGAACATTGTTGAGAGATTGATCAATTACCGAGATTGAACCACTTTGACGCGACTGGATTTTATCGAAAAAAATAGTAATTCGATTTTCAGCAAAAAAAGATATTTAACATGTCAAAGTGCAGATTCGAATCACATTGTCTGAATGTTTCGCAAGTTACCGGAAGAAATGTATCGAAACAAGCATCTCGTGTTACAAAATACGACATGTCTTTTATTAATTGTGAATGCATACTGTTTGTAAGCATATTGTAGCTATTTTAAGTACAGGGTATCTCATAATTATAAGACCCCCTACTAAATTTCTACAAAAATTAAGATTTCCTTGACTAAATATAGTTT